GTTGTTCTTTGTGAGCTGGCGACCCAAAGAAAAATCCATCTACAGTGAAGAGTTATTTAAGCAAAAATATTCTGCTTCTGCCAGTAGTCAGTGATCTAGAGAGTCCATCCAAATTCCAACATCCTGCTTTTACTCATGTGCACACAATTGAAAGGAAGAAGTCAAGATGAGCATGGTAGTTCATACCTATAATCCTAGCACACAGGAAGCTGAGTCAAGAAGGTTAGTGTGAATACAGAGAGAATACCAGACTGGTCAGGGAGCTTATCTTTATTAATATGTATCTAATAGATCATATCTCCAACAATAGAAAGCAGAATATTGTTTGCTTCCCTGGGAAGCACCATTAGAAAGGACATGAATATTGGAAGGGCACTGGGAATGTCCTAGGGACTGACCACATGGGTGTACGTGAAAGTGAAAGTTCGTGGAATTGCTGTGTACTTCAGATACATGTATGTACGTGTGCCTAGTGTTTTAAGGACTGAACTATTTTACTTGAAAACCAACAACATGGAAGAATATTGACTAGTACCAATGAACCTTTTATCTCACGGGTTTAATTCATTGTTCCAAGCCATTAAGAAAATCTTAAATCTGAGTTCTTCATTGCTGGAAAAAAGCTCTTAGCAGGTTACATTGGATAGAATTGAACCAAGAAATGGACTTTTGGCACTAGAAGACTTACCTAAACTCCTAGGGCTGATTCATTCATTGAATTCATCCTACTTTACACTCCTACTGCCCTGTGTTTTTCCATGTCACTGCAAATCTATGAAAGACTTTGTCAAGCACTTCACAAAAACAAGACCTCACCGGACTCTCAAACACTGCTCTACTCATTGTGTTCAAGTACTTTAACTCTTTGCACATGTACCTATACTTGTTCTGTCAATCACAAAGAAGGCGGCATTCAATTTTCTAGTGTCACTGTATCCGATTTTATTTTGGCAATTTTTGAGGCTATTTTGTAAGGCATATCTAAATTTAAGAAATACAGTTTCTGTCTTCTTTGTGGAATGTCCTTCTCCAAATCTTACATTAAAGCGTGCTTTGTCTCTGGCATAGCTATACCAGCTTACTTTTTTGAGCTTTGAAGGATCTTTGCTGTATTCTTTGACTTTGATTGTTTCCACTTTTTTTTTTATATTCAAGCAGATCTCTTTTAGCTGGACAAAATCCCAACATGGAGTCCCACCCCCACCTGAGAAGCTATTGGTGACTGACGGCTCCATAGCTATATGAAGGTCATTTTTCCTAAGAATCTGTCATGAGGCCCAACATTAATGCACATACTGGCAGCATTTAGTGGACTCAGTAGGTTTATAAAGACAGAAGACATGAAACTGGAAGGAAATAGTGGGGCATATAAGGGAGGAATTGGAGAAGAGGGAATTGGAGATGGACTTGATCAAAGGACATTATATGCATGTATGACATTCTCAAACAACAACCACAAAATAATAGTGTTGGGCCTCACAGGAGATGATAATGTAAGTTATCTTGGGGGTTTTTTTGTTTTTGTTTTTTGTTTTTTTACTAACATCTTTATAGTATTCCTTCCTTGTAGCCAGAATTTGTCTTTGACATTCTAAGATTTCTTTAACTATAATATGAGCAATAGGTAATATTTTTCACTTAATTGAATGACATTGGAAATGACCATTAAAAATTAAAATAGCCTTTGCACTCCATAGTCTTAAGGAGTCAGGTATCTAAAAACGGATCCATGTTATTTCCAAATCATCTCACCTGAAATTGGCCGGGAGATAATGACTTTAAGCAAAATAAGCCAGACTTAGAAAGGTGAACAACATGTTTTTCTGTCATTGACAGACGTCTATATTTAAACTTCTATGGATGTGTATACATGTAAGACATGGAAGTAGAAAGATGGCTGTGAGAAGGGAGGGGGGATCTGGAGGGAGGGGCACACAAGAGTTGATGCATATATGCGATATGAAAGCTGAAAGGGATGTATTTGGGAGGAAGGAGAGGACCAGAAAGGAGACAGTGCAGTAGGGGGGTGAATAAGAATATAGTATAATGAGCAGCCTGGAACACAGTGGCCAGAGTCTAACCCATCCCCACCCGCCACCAAGCCCCACCACAATGAGCAAATATATGATGGGGAAATGGGAGAGAAAGAGAAGCAGAGCAGTTCATGTGCTGTGGAGAGAAGAGGAACTGGCAGTGGGATACTATAGCAGTGAAGAACAGGCTGATGTGAGCGGCCTGCGCTGCCACCTGAAGCCATGTGATATCTAGGCCTGTGCCGCCACCAAGAGCCATACTTATCTGAGTGCCCTGTACTGCCACCCGAGGCCACGGTGACACCCAGGCTTGTGATGCAACCGTGGGCCGTATCTGGATCCATGACCATACAACAGCCAGGGTCTGTGTTGATCAGTCCATGATCCCTGTTACCATCAAAGGCCATGCAGATAGATGCCCGTGATCTGGACTGCCCCTAGATCCATGGTGATGTCTCAGGGCCCTGATGAGTAGGCCCTGGCCCTCGCTGGACCTGGAAGAGCTGACCCCACTCTTCACGGGACAGCTGGCCCTGGTGGCATGGGGGCAAGAGAGCTGGTCTTGCCCCTTGCTGGCCTCCACACATGGGGAAGCTGACCCTGCCTCTTACCACCTGCAGTGTGGCAGCAATGGTGGTGGTGTGGATATGGAAGAGCTGGCCTTTTCCCTCTCCTGGGGGTAGAGCAGTCCCAATGGAGGCCTGGCCTGACCAACTCAGCTACCACCCAGGCCCACTTCCAGGATTTTGAGTGGGGCCACCCAAAAATCTAGCCCAGCTATGACCTGCTAGAGTGCATGAGGGGACCGACCAGTCCTGTGTAACTGTAGCTGCAGGGTCTCCATCACTCAGGGCAGCAGCAGGATGTCTGAGAGGAGTTTCGGTGAGGGTCCAGTGTTGAGGACTTACCAGAAGCCAGAGATCTTTAGCCAGACCAAAAACTCAGTGCAATATTTGCAAGGAAAGCTGTGTGGACAAAAGAGTCTACTGTGTGCCACACCACGGCTCCCAATGCCACTACAACAAACCAATATGTGATGGAGAGACCAACAAGACGGAGGAGCAAAGTGGGTTTTTTTTTTTTTTGCTTTGGTTTTTTTTTTTGTTTTTCTTTTCTTTTGGGGGGGGGCTACAGGGGTATAGGGTGGACATGGAAGGACTGGGAAATGGGGTGCATGGTGTGAAATTCCCAAAGAATTGATAAGAAAAAAAAAAGGTTAAATTTTAAAAAAAAAAGAATACAGTATAATGCTATACATGTTTGAAAATGCCATCGTGAACCCATTACTTTGTGGGCTGTCTGAGTCACTTTTCTGTTGCTGTGATGAGACGCCATGACCAGGGCAACTTATAGAAGGAAGAGTTTGTTTGGGCTCATGGTTCCAGAGGGATGAGAGTCCATCACCATCACTGCAGGCAGTCGTGGTGCTTGCAGCAGCTGCTGAGAGCCAGACCAACCCATTCTCAGAGACCCTGATCAAAGGGCAAAGGGAACTTCAGCTCTGTCCTATCCAGGAGCAGGCTTGGAAGGCCAGTCTAAGGCTAGAGCCAGTGCCTCAAAGGAGTTCAGATTTCTGGTCCTGGGAACTTGGCTCCTCCCATCCCGGAAGAAACCGGAATTATCAGTCCCAAGGGCCATTGTGTACTCCATCTCTAATGCTCTTACAGATACATTGTGTTCCCTTTGTGCAATAAGATACATTGTGTTCCCTTTGTGCAACGTTTCTTGATCAGCCTTCTGATGGTTTTGTCCCATTTTACAATAGATGCTGCCAACTCTGTCCCTTTTCTCCCCTGGAAGAGTCCTTGTGTGAGATCTTGGGGTAACTGGGGACATAACTTCAAGGAGAGTAGGAAGAGTTGACCCCTTCCTTTTTCTCTCCCTTCTTAGCCATGAAGTACTTTGGTCATGTTTGACCCGCTCTCCCACCATGATGCCAGCACATGCCACAGCCACAGAGAAAATGGAGCTAAAGTAACGCTTTGCTCTTCATAAGGCAATTATGCCAGGAACGTCTTAGAGTGATAGGAATGTGACAAACAGAAGCAGCTGTTCATTTATCCTACCTGGGGTAAGTGCAACTCTAATCTATGCAGTTAGCAAAATTCCTGAATAGAATCCAGTAATATCAGCTACGGTTCCCCCTTTTGCACATTATATCGTCAGTCCTTGTGCTCCAATATTTGTTACTTTATGTCCTTTGTCCCACATCTCCACATCTCTTCTCCCTTATCCTCATCCTGATAACTTATTTATGTGAGTTTATCCTTTTCTTGTCAGTGCTAGAGATTGGACCAAAAAAAAAAAAAAAAAAAAAAACAAGCTCTACCACTGAGGCTGTATCCCAGCTTGAAGTATTTTTAGCCCCACTTTAAAAAGAAAAATGAGGTATTTCTAAGCCAAACCTATGCTATTTGACTATGAAGCTGCAGAGCTTCAAAAGTAACACAGATTCTGCTAGTGGCTTCTAGGTACATGAAGTAAAGATTAATCAGCCAGTGCAACTAGAGAACAACCAAGTTCAGAGTCAGAATACACCTGTGCTCCCTTTCCCATTATATCTTGCCTGATCTTTAAATTGATGAACTACCACTCAGATAAATTACAAGTTATCTGATGGACACCTCACCTTATCTTTGCCTTCTCCAACTTCTCACTTCTCTTTTTGCCTCATAACAGAAAACTATTCTGCCTGGTTTCCAGCATGCTTCCTTCCCCTCTCCGGGCAAGACATTCCTCGCTTCTGTCAGTAGGTTGAGTTTTTCCAAACCTATTTCCTATCTCCAACACATGTAGGAGAAATAAATGAAGAATTTATTGACAGATACACCACCGCCATGTCTTTAGGTGATGTAGCCAGGAAGACAACATCTTCAGAGTATTTACATCAATCCAGAAACGTTTCTGAGGACACACCTGGCAATCAGAGAAGCCTGGTGACACACTCATAAGGCGTGATTGACAAGAGGAAGTTATAGCTGACTTAAATAGATTGTATTTGGTTGAATGTTTAAAAATCCATTTCCTTGTCTGATATTTTACTAGCAGTGGTGAAAATAGAAACATCTTCCTCTCAGAGAATTAAAATACTTTTCCAAAGAGATTGCCCACTTGCAGAAGTAGGAAGACAAAATTGCATCCACACGCAATTCTCCTCTCTCGTCCTCTCTCCCTGCTGCTCCCACTTGTAACATCAGCGAAAATGGAAACCTGACTGGGATTACTCAGGCATAATTTAGATGCTCGATTCCAGGTGACCCACTGATTCTACTCCTAGAAAAGTAGTCCAGAGAGATAGTTTAACAAAAACAAGTGCTGTACACATCAAGAAGTCACTATAAAATTCACTGCAAAGAAAGAAAGAAAAAAAGAAAGGAGGGAAGGAGGGAGAGAGGAAGGGAGGGAGGGAGGAGAGGGAGGAAAGGAAGGAAGAGAGAGAGAGGAAGGGAGGGAGGGAGGGAGGGAGGGAGGGGAGAAGGAAGAAAGGACATAACCAATGTACTTTATTCTAGGAAAATGTTCAATAATTCATTTGCACTATAAAATTACACATGGTTTTAAAATATAGATCTAGAAACACTATTAAGTAGTAAATGAAAAGGCAAATATAAAACACTTAATCCTTAAACTCTAAAATATGTATATATGGATACCCTGGGAAACAGGAATCAAATCATTGGGTAGTGCTTACCATCTGTTTAGGTAAAGGAGGGTTTGTGGCTATTCTTTGTGGAAATGTGGATAGTGTAGCTGCCTCCTCTACATCCTTGCATCTCCTTGGGGGTTGACTCATAATTGCACTGAACAATAAATAAATTATGTATATTAGCAGTTAAATTTCAGTTGCTAAAATGGAATTTTTTGTAAAATTACCTTAAGATATCACTTAACCCAGTAGTTTAACTGGGACATGCATAATACAAAAAAAAAAAAAGTTTTCAAGTGAAATTCAAATTTAGCTAATGTTCAAGGCAACAAATTGGATGAGGATCTGAAAAAGAAGCCGTGGGGGAGACATTTAAATGCTCAGGATCCACATAACTCTCATCTGTGTCCCAATAGAGAGAGAGGACATTTTGAACTCCTTGTATTTGGGAGAACTTCTCACCAAGAGCAGCTCATCCTGGAATGGCACTGACTGAGATTCCTGGTGTGGCTAGGCAGGGACGGTTGAGACAGGCTTCCTCCTACATAGCTATAAAGATGGAATAATCCACGGAGTTTTCAGACAGGGATGAAAAATGGAACTGATTTTTCTCACATGGAGAGCATCAGGTACTCAGGCTTTGGAGACTCAAGACTTGCGATAAGACTTCAAGTGAGAAAAATGGCATTAAAATATAAACTATTTCTGACACGTCAATTTAAAAAGCCAGTGACTCCATGGAAGCCAGCTTTCTGCAGCTATACCTTTTAATGGCTGCAGAAGATAGAGTGGACTGTCTCACAGGAATAATGTGAGAAGCTAACATAAATGTTAAATCTCTTCAAGTTCAAAAATGGCTTCCTTGACAACCACACCAGAAGCCTGGCCACCGGCATTCTTAATAAGGAGTCATATAGAAGTCTTTAGAAGTACAGTAAACAATGTAAAGAGCAGCCAGTTCAATGTCTCGTTTTACAAGTTAAATGGAGATACTGACAGGTTGAGTTGTTCAAAGCCTCATCTACTCCATAGCTTACGTCTAGGATGAATAATTGAAGTTATTCTGTCTGTCATTCTCCTGACCATGCAGACGGATGACTAAGGTCCCAGCTCTGACAGTACAGATGGATCGACCAGGACCAGAAGTTGTCATGGTAAGTGAAAAGCAAAGGCTAAGGCAACATGGGTAATTTCTACCATTGTATTTTGAGCAAAATCCTTGATAAATTCAAAGATTGTGATAAATCAATAGTCATCAGCCATGGCTAAGACTGTAAAGTCAATTCAACCACAGATGGAATCACACTGGTTCCCATTTTCCAAGTCAGTAACGTTTGCAATGGTAACAGTCTGCTCTGCATTCAAGACCATGTGTGGTGTGTACAGACAGACATCAGTCTGAAACAACCCATCGAACAAATAAACAAAAACCAAATCTCATATCCATTTTTTTTTTTTTGCTTCTGCAGACAAGAGGTCTAAACATCTCTCCAGGAGAAATTGGTAGCTTAAACTAGCAGATAGCAGCAGCATATTATTTTGCGGCCTTTTGTAGCACCTCGACTATCTATCAAAGGCCAAGATTCCAAAGTAGTATACAGCCTGGGCACAAATCATAATCTGCTAGCAGATAAAGTGAAAAATCTGCAACGGTTAATAGAGCTTGGGAAAGTGTAACCAAGGACTTGTTTCTCTCCTAGCCCCAGAATGTTACAGACCAGCTGCTTTTCCTTCATGCGTGGTCATACTGTGTTGATATATCCAATAGGTGAAGGGGGACCCGGCAAACACAGCACTCTGCTGGTTTCCATGAGTCCTTCTCCACGTGGTGCTACAGAATCAGTTTCCTTCAGTATACTTACTTTCCCTCTGAGCAAAAATGGTTTGGGAAACATCTGGCTCTGAGAGGCACTGGGTATTTTTAAATTTCTTCCTCTGGGGACCAGCCCCTCTCTTGCCCTTTGCAGCTTGCAGTTGCCACCAGGAGATAGAAGACAGTGGGTGGAAGGCATTGGGTTTGTTAGGCACAGTCTGGCAGCCACGCCAATGAGATGAGCAGCTAACCTCTGCAGAGCTGGCTCTCACCTCTCCCCTACTCCAACGCCGAGGTGGGGGAACCCTAATTTTCAGATTTCCTGAGCTGTCTTGGTCCTTGCTAATATAGCCTAAGCAATCAAGCAGTCCTATAATTACAGTCAAGGAAGTTTGCCTCAGAATGAATTCGCACTATTTCTGGAAGAGAAAATTTTCTGTGAGTTTGGAACAATCCAGTGATTTTTTTTTTGGCACAATAATTCTGCATATTTGTGGGTACAATGCAATGCTTCAGTGTATGGATCTACTGTAAAGATTTAATCAGGATAATTAGCATATGAATTACAACATGTATCACTTCTTTGTGGTAGGAACATTCAGAAATTTCTACTAGCGCTTTTGAAATATATAATCCATTATTGCTGTGTGTGTGGTCACTCTGCCACACAATAGAACACCAGGACTCATTCCTCCAATACAAATGTATCTTGCACCCATTGACAACCCTGCCAGGCCCCCTCCCTACCCTCTCCAGCCTCTAGGAACCTTTTACCTTTCTTTCTCTATTTTCATGAGTTCAGCTCATATTCCACATATGAGTGAGATCTGTAGTACCCGTCCTGCTGTGTCAGGCTTAGTTAACTCAACATGACATCCTCCAGGTTCATCCAGGCTTTTCAAATGACTTGTTTCCCTTCTTGTCAATAGCTGAGTAGCATTCCATTGCATAGATATATAAAGATTATAGATAGCTAGAGAAATAAAGAGATGATAGATAGGTAGACAGACATATAAACATGCCACAATTTCTTCATACTTTCTTTTATTGATGAATACCTACAATGACTCCATATTGTGTTTGTTATGAGTAGTGCAGAGTATACATGTGAGAATAGATGTGTCTGACGTGCTATTATTTCCTTAGTGATCATTTTAATCACAGTGTGGGGAAAGAGAAAAGCCCTGCATACTTGGATCAGTAAAGGAAGAAAAAAAATGTTCCAAGGTGTCTTTACAGGGCTAGGGAGATAGCTTTAATGGGTTAAAGCACCTGCTGAGACAGTGTGATGATCCAAGTTCATACATTCAGAAGTATGAGCACCTGAAATCTCAACGCTCCTGTAGGTCAATCAGAGAGAGAAGAGAGAGAATCGGCAGAACTTGCCAGTCAGTGAACCAGGCACACACAGCAGCCAAGAGCAAAAAGAAACAAAGTGGAAGGTGAGGACTGACATGTAGGCTGACCTCTGACCTCCAGATGTCTATTTCCTCCTCACATTGAAATCAACAATGGTCAGCACACAAGCACAGTATGGTAACCCAGGCATCCAACTCCTCTTAATCTCTTGTCTCAAAACCTTTAGCTTTTCAGGGAGTACCTGAAGCCTTGTAGTAATATTTTAATAATTTACTTTAATTCATACTTATTTCTAGTTATGTCTGCATGCCTGCTCATCTGCGTAACATGTGCATGCAGGCTCCCGCTGAAGCCAGGAGAGGGCATCAGATCCCCTGAAACTGGAGTTACAGGCATTTGTGAGCCTTCTGATGGGAACCAAACCTGGGTCCTCTGCAAGAGCAGAAAGCGCTCTTAATCACTGGGCCATCTTTCCAGCCTCCTGAAGAGGCATTTTAAAGAAATACTTTATTAAATATCTTATCTAATCTCTCACTGTTCCGCTTTATGAAAATATTATTGGTAAGCAATTAATTTCACCATAGATCATTTCAACATACATTCCATACATGTGAACATTTTCCTATGTCATAAGATTTAATGTCAACACTGTATTTTCTGTGTAGATGTACACATGTTTAAAAGTCCTGCCAGTTACTAAGCACATGGGTAATTTGTAAGTGTGGTGCACATTTCTGACCGTTTTTCTAAGAAACAGTTTCTTAGGGGACTAGCATTTAGCTCATGTGCATAATGCTCTAGGTTCAGTCCCAAGTATTGCAAAGAAGAAAAAATGAAAAGAAGGAGTGGAAGACGGGGTGGGGGGTGGGGTGGGGGGTGGGGGGGGAGTGGAGTAATTTCCTGAAAACAACATCTGTAGGTGTCCTGGCTGGTTGTGTGTCAACTTGGCACAAGCTGGAGTCATCAGAGAGGAAAGAGCCTCAGTTGAGGAAATGTCTCCATGAGATGCATCTGTGAGGCATTTTCTCAATTAGTGATCAATAAGGGAGGATCCAGACATGGTGGGTGATGATGCCATCCCTGGACTGGTAGTCCTGGGTTCTATAAGAAAGCAGGCTGATCAAGTCAGGGGAAGCAAGCCAGTTAAGAGGCACCCCTCCATGGCCTCTACATCAGCTCCTACCTCCCTGCTTGAGTTCATGTCCTGACTTTCTCCAATGACAGACTAGGACCTGGAAGTGTAAGCCCAATAAACCCTTTCCTCCCCAACTTGCTTTTTGGTCATGGTGTCTCATTGCAGCAATAGAAACCCTAACTAAGACACTGAGTAAAATGAGATGAGTATCTCGTAAGCTTTAAAATAGGTTGCTATATTGACCATCTGAATGACTGTAAACAATTATATTGATCTAATGCTTCTAAAATGCCAACTTCAGTTTTATAACTTTTTTAAATCATGCTATTTTGAAAAGTGAAAACAGTGTCTCATTACTATTTCACAGTAAATTATTATGATTTCTAGTGCATAAAATATATGTCTATATGTATAAGAATCTCTTCCTTTGTTTTTAATTGTTCAAACCATCTTCTAGTTTTTCAATTAGATTCTTTTAGATTTATTTTATGTATGTGGATAGTTTTTTTACATGTATATCTGTATAGCATGTATGTGCATGTCTGGTGCATGAGGATATGAGGAGGGTATTGGATCCCCTGGGACTGGAGTTATAAGTGATGGGGAACTGCCATGTGGGTTATAGGAACTAGACCCAGTCCTTTGCAAAGACAACAAGTGCTCTTAACCACTGAGCCATCTTTCCAGCCCCTCAATTAGATGGATAGATAGATAGATGGATAGATAGATAGATAGATAGATAGATAGATAGATAGATAGATAGATAGATAGATAGATAGATAGATATAAAATATGTTTTTCAAGACAGGGTTTCTCTGTGTAGCTTTGGAACCTGTCCTGGATCACTCTGTAGCCCAGGCTGGCCTCAAACTCACAGAGATCCACCTGCTTCTGCCTCCTGAGTACTGGAATTAAAGGCATGCGCCACTACAGCCCAGCCCCTCAATTATATTTTTAAACTTTCCATCTTTATATGTTTTCAGAACATCAATCTTTGATCACATAAGGAAGTATCCCACCCTTTCTTCTCATCTTCCCAACTTTAGGAAATGAGTTCTCCAATATTCCACAGGCCACCTTTCCCTAAAATCTCCTTAAATTTATTTATTGTTATTTATGAGTCTGAGTGTGTGTCTACTATGTGAGTGTTTGCCATTTGTGAGCTGGAGAAGCCAGAAGAGGATGCCAAATACCCTGGAGCTGGAGATATAGGCAATTGTAAGCTACCAGATGTTGAGTGCTGAGAACTGAACTTGGGTCCTCTGGACGAGCAGCGAGCACTCTTAGCTGCTGAACTGTCCACTCAAATCTCATATCTGACTAGAACGGTCAGTTTTAAATGTCAGGTTGCTACAGCTTGCCATGCCCTGAGCAAGGAGTCTCAACTGAGGAATTGTCTCAACTAAGGAACTGTCTACATCAGGTTGGTTTGTGAAACATGAACATGTCTATGAGGGGTTGCATGGATTGCCTAAAAGACTCACCCCAGTTGTGGGCGGCCTCTTCTGGTAGCACCCCAGATAAGAAAGGGCATGGGGGAAAGATGAGTAGTCACCTTTAGTTCCCTTGGCCTTGACTCTCCTGAGTTAATTTACCTCATTTGCTGCTGCTATTGACACTGTTGCTGAGCTTCCAACATGGATGGAGGGCTAATGGCTCTCCAGGAATCCTCCAAACCATTCAGCAGATGGGGACCACTGAGGTACCCAGTCTTATGGACCGAGCAACTACCTGGTTCTTAGCTACTGTGGAAGGCAGCTTTTGGGAGTTTACTACGACTGCTGAGGCACCCAGCCTCGTGGACCAAGCAAACAACTATCGGGTTCTCAGCCTATTAGCCAGGCCATGGTGGTCCAAGTCGTTAATCCCAGAACCTGGGAGGCAGAGGCAGACAGATTTCTGTGAGTTCGAGGCCCGCCTGATCTAGAAAATGAGTTTCAGGACAGCCACAGCTGTAACCCAGAGGAACCCAGTCTTGGGGGAAAAAAGTCAGCCTTCCTTTTGCATCTGAGGCGACTGTTGTTGGAGCATTTGGACCATATTGTATGCATCCATTTAATAAATCCTATTAGTTATGTTCCTCTAGAGAACCCTGACCAATATGCTAATCCTGCTGTATACTATCAGCACTAACTTTAGAATGTGCAGAATCTAGCCAGTATCCACTACCTGTATCCACAATGGTATTCTTTCTCAAAATCATTACCTATTGCCTTGCTGTCTAGGAAAGAAACAAACAATTGCGTGTTATCAAAACTACAGAAATTGCCGGGCGTGGTGGCGCACGCCTTTAATCCCAGCACTCGGGAGGCAGAGCCAGGCGGATCTTTGTGAGTTCGAGGCCAGCCTGGGCTACCAAGTGAGCGCCAGGAAAGGCGCAAAGCTACACAGAGAAACCCTGTCTCGAAAAAACCAAAAAAAAAAAAAAAACTACAGAAATAGTATAGTTTACCTAACTGATTCTCTGCTTTTCATTGTATTTCCAGTCTTTCAATAATAAGGAATATAAAAATTAAGTCAATTGGCAAAAAGAAGCAAGGAGTGTGTGACTCCACTTGGAGAGGCACATTGTAGATGAGTAAGAAGCAGGGTCCTTCCCCGCCTGCCTTCTGACTGTTGGGATTACAGGCACACACCACACCCAGCTAAAAATACCTTATTGATTAAAACCCAAGACCATGCGTAAATATGATCTTTCAGCTCGGTTTGCACTATAACCTGGAAGTCTATCACACAATGCTGCCACCTGCTTACCATGTGTCAATCATACTTTATGAAGACCCAGGTACAAGGCAGCAGTTTATAATGTAAAATAGACTTCTCCTATTTGATGATTATAAGAACTGCCAGCTGAGTAACTGAAAAACTCCATCTGTTCCTAATCTGCCTTTCACCACCACTCGAAGGACACAGAGAAGGCAAGAAAGAAGAGAGTGGCCTAACTAAGTGGTTTCGTAGAATGACATTTCTCCTTTGTCCGGGACCTCATGTTAGTCCTCTTTATATTAGCCTCGTGGCTTGTGAGAAGTGGGCATTTGATCAGCATTTGTGAATTGAATCAGTCTGTTTTCCTCTAGAGAAAAAGGTCATGGCCATTATTTAATATATTTGCACATATTTATTATGGATATTTTTGGTGGTTTTTTTGTTGTTTTCTGTTTTGTTTTTTCCAGGCACACAGCCTTACTATGTCACCTTAGGCAGTCTACAACTTGCTATGTTGCTGCGGATGATTGATTGATAAATAAAACACTGACTGGCCAGGAGCCAGGCATGAAGTATAGGCGAGACAAAGAAGAGAAGTCTGGGAAGTGGAAGGCTGAGAGGGAACGACGCCAGCCTGCCATCCAGGGAGCAGCGTGTCAAGGCAACAGGTAAAGCCACGGAACACATGGCGACATATAAATGAACAGAAATGGGCTGAGTATAAGTTTAAGAGCTAGTCAGTGGTAGGCCTGAGCTAATGGCTGAGCAGTTTAATTAATATGAGCTTCTGAGTGAATATTTTATAAGTGGTTGTGGGGTCCATGGGGCTGGGCAAGACTAGAAAAAACTCCAGCTACACTATGTAGACTGAATGAGCCTCAAACTCACAGAGCTCTGCTTACCTCTGCCTCTCAAGTACTGATATGAAAGCTTTGGCTATGTTTGTTTGTTTGTTTGTTTGTTTGTTTGTTTTTCTATTGTTTAAATAGAAGCAGCAGATTAACTTCTGGTAACTCCAAGAATCGGCAAGACGAATAGCAACAGGAAGGAAGAAGAGGAAGATTAATTACCAATAAAAACAACTGTGCTTTTCTTCTTCACAGAGGTAGAGAATGGCTTAGAATATAGACAAATTAAAACCCACTGACTTAGCAAGAGAGTGAATTAGAAGAGCAGACATGTGTAATGTTAAGTACAATTGAGAGAAAGAAAACATGATTACCAATCACAAGGTAATTAGTCTCCATCACATGCTACAGTGCTGGCCGCAGGGCAGGAGGTGTGGCTCAGTGGTAAGGTGCTTGCCTAGGGTGGTCAAGGTTTCGAGTTCAATGCCCAGCACTGGAGTCACAGGGTGTTGGGGGTGGGGAGAGAAACTGGGAATAGTTTTCTCTTATTGAACAATGTCAGAATAGATGTATGTAATGGCTGAGAAAAGATTCAGTTCCACCTGTGACACAACGTTAGGTAGAGAGACAGAAATCAGTGGCCTTAGAGGTCAGCTTTGGACTCCACCTCTTCTTTCCCTGGTAATACTATAGAAGTAAACATCAGCTCTGCCATTCCTTAGGCATCCTTGCCAAAAGAACAGAATGCCCAACCCTGGACGGCATTTTGACTGGACATTTTGATCTCTTCCATGTTGTGCCACAGTTAATCTGAATGCAGGGTCCATCCCACAGCCTCCTGGCTCTTCAAGGGCTCGTCTCCCTCCTAGGAGTTCCATCCAGCCGTCTTGTTTTTTCCTTACACACATTTAATCATCCACTGCACAGTTACTCTGTAGTCCCCAAAATTAGCTTCATATGGTAATCTGTAAACTAGAACACCAAATGTAACTAGACATGTACACGTATAGAAAGAAAAAAAAAGAAGAATAAATGGGGAATAAGTCGTAACATTCCCTAGCACCCTGAGATTTCTCCACGTATACCTCTACATCAGGGACAGCCTCTGTCCTGCTACCCCTCTGTCCCTCCTCTTGGTGACTCTATTTCTTGCTGCCCTGGTCTTTCTTAGAAGCTGAGAGAGGGCAAAACTGTGACTTAAAGCATCTCCTACTTAAACTCAAAATACATTGAGCATTCCAACATGCTTATTTTCTCCTAGTATGAAGGGAATTTTTAGAATTTAGAGATCCATATTTGCTACCTTCAGAGCTTAGCTTTCAAGACAGCGCTCTCAAGGCTGAAGGACAAACACGTGATCTTTTGTCATGAATGACAAATGTATTTGTGTCAATGAATACAGAACATCAATTTGTAAACCTAGCAGCCTTACAAGGTAAAAGCTTCCAATAAACTATATATAGAGGGAATGTGCCCAACCCACAGCTTATATCATGCTTGGTGGTGAAAGTCAAAAACTTTGCCTCTGAGATAAAGAACCAAACCAGAATTTTCCATCTTGTTGCTTCTTTTGGATATAGAACCAGAAATCCTTGCCAGAGCAATTTGGCAAGAAAAGGAAATTGTCAAGGAGGAAATTAAATGGCTTCTATTTGCAAACAACAGAGTCTGTGTACATAAAGGTGTATTAAAGGATCTACCAAATGAAAAAATGTGAACAAATTCAATAAGAGTACGGGGCCCAAAGCGAGCATAGAAATGAGTCACTGGGGCTTCTCTGTATGAATAATGATCTATCCAAAATAAATCAAGAAACTATAAATCCATTTCTAATAGACATTAATGCAAAGAAGTATGCTTAATTATTTTGTGACAGAGGTGGAAGACCTGCACATGGAACTCTATAAACATTGATGGAATAAATTTTTAAAAAAATCAACAAAGGAACAAATATAGACTAGTGGATTGTAAGAGTTAATATTTAAAATTTCCCTTTTGTTTTTGGTTCATTTTGTTTTTTTTTCTTTAGATCAGGTCTCACTATGTGGCCCAAGCTGTCCTAAAACTCACAATCACTCCACCTCTGCCCCCTAAATGCCAGATTACAGGTATATGCCAGTACATCCAGTTTGTAAGAGTCAATCCTGATAAAGATGTCCACACCACCTAAAGCAAACTGTAGATTCAGTGTGATTCCTCTGAAAATGCCATTGATGTCTTTCACAGATGTATATCCAAGAAGTGAGCGTTGTGGAGGCACATGCTTGTCGTCCCAGCACTTGAGAGGCAAAGACAGGGATTATGAGTTCAAAGTCAGCCTGAGTGACAAAGTGAGGCTTCTCTAAAACAAAATAATAGTAAAAAAGGAATCTTAAAATTTTCTTGGATCCAACAGACCTCAAATACCCAAAGCAACCCTGAACAAAAGGAACAAAACAGTATTCACTACAAAACTACTATTCTCAAAATAACATGGCCTTGGCATAAAGGCATATAAGTCCAAGAAATTTGTCCATGCATTTATGATTTGATTTTCAGCAAAGGATACAATGAAGGATGGTCTCTTTTGTAGCTAGAGTTTTCCTGTTCCTACCTGGCCCACAGTCAGGACAAATCTCTCTCACCCGCCAGTCCCACAGCTGCTCAGACCCAACCAAGTAAACACACAGAGACGTATATTGCTTACAAACTGTATGGCCATGGCAGGCTTTTTGCTATCTAGTTCTTTTATCTTAAATTAACCCATTTCTATATATCTATAATTTGCCACATGGCTTGTGGCTTAATGGCCGGTATCTTTACATGTTGCTTGTCATGGCGGCGGCTGGCAGCATCTCCCTGACTCAGCCTTCCTGTTCCCAGAATTCTCTTCTCTGCTTGTCTCACCTATACTTCCTGCCTGGCTACTGGCCAATCAGCATTTTATTTATACAGAGTGATATCCACAGCACTCTTTAATGAAGGATGCTGGGGACACTGGATATCCACATGCAAAAGAATGAAGTTGGGCTCTCATCATGTACCACATGCAAAACTTAACTTATACTCAAGAAATGCATGAAAACATCTCCAACATCACTAACCATTAGCAAAATGCAAGTTTAAAACACAGTGTTATATTAACAGAACAGCTTCTATCAGAACAACAATAGATAGCAAGTACTGGTGGGAATGTGGAGAAAAGGGGACCCTGGCACACTGATGGTGGGACTCTCAGTTGAAAGGGCCACTGCAATAAATAGTATGGAGGTTGATCAACCATGTATGAAGGGATGGTGAATAAAGAAACTCACTCACACACTCCACATGTACCACACACAGTTACATACACACATACATACATCACACACACACACACACACACACATTGATACACTGTCTAGCCTTTAAAAAGAGAAAGCCCTGTATTTTCAGCAATATGAATGAACCAAGGACATTACATTAAGTGAAATGATCCAGACACAAGAATCTAAAAGCATGATCTCATGAATATCTAAAACTATAGAAGGAGAGGGTGGAGTGTCAGCTACAAGTGGCTGGGAAGGGTATTTGGGAGGAATAAGGCCAAAGTATCTACTGTACAATATGTGAATATGATTAACAAATATTACATTTATTTTATTGCTGGAAGTAAATGTTTAGTGTTACTGCCACAGGAAAATGTTTTCAAGGTAGTGCTTCTGATATTTACCTCAACTTGGCCATTTTATAATATGTGCCTATTTCAGAACAGGGTATACACAATAATTATATTTGTTGATTTAAAATTAATTAGCCCCTTTATTTTCCTTAAACAGTAAAAAAAAAAAAAAAAAAAAAAAAAAAAAAAAACCCTAGTTAGAAAGAGAGGTAGAAAAAGAACACATTAATACACCAATAAATAGAATAAAGGTCTTGAAAAACAACATGCCACGAACTAAGGGTACCATGGCACGTCCCACTCCACCCAGCTCCACAGTAATAGTCTCTGTCACAAGGGGCATCTGGACAGCCAGTGCAAGCCATCAGTTCTTTCCCAAACCCCACAGCAGGTTCCCATCTCCATCTATGTGCCCAGCCTTTCTTCTCCATCATCTACTCTTCCTCCTCTTTCTCCCACGTAAGCATCTCAAACTGTAGGACTGTAATGATCGTCATAGGCGAGCACTCGGCGATCTCATCCTCAATGTCCTGTATCAGTGCAAGCTCTTTGTGTCTTAATCCTCACATCAACTGTTGTGGTTTGAATGCAGACCCTCCCGGTTTTGTATGTCACCAGTGTGAAAAGTTAAGAAGTGAGGCATTTGTGAGATGGTTAATCCATGAGTGCTTTTCCTTTGTAGGTGGGGCGAAGGTCCTTATGGAAGCATTCTCTTACCCTGCTGCCTCCTGCCAGGCCTAGTGAAGACACAGCATCCCTCCCTCGGGAAGCTGACTGCAGCCCTCAGCAAATGACCGTGGGCTTCCTGTTCTCCAGAACTCCGGGAAATAATTTCTATTCCTTACACTCTAGTCCTTATTAAGTGTCAGTACTTAATAAATGAACCATGATGTCACTTCAGGCATGTATTATCCTTAGGCCTGTCCTACAAGACAAAAGGGAGTACAGAGAGTCACTTAATCAAGGTTTCATACCTAACAAAAAACAAATAATGGACGCAAATGCCATGGAGCCCAGCCCCAAAATCCACACTATTAATTACTATGTCGTGTGACTACCTTAGTCTGAAGATATACTCTCATAATTCCTCAAAATCCTAATGAATGTAATCATAACATTATGTAACATAGGAAAAGTATATTGATATTAAGAGGTAGTTTACTAATAGCTATCTGTGTTTAATATCCAGGAAGAATGATCTAGATATGCACATATTTACATTGAAAGGCCTAAGTCATTATGTGAAATATGCATGGACCAAAATACTGTGTGTAAAATTATGATTTTATATAAACTCCAATAGAAACAAATGTCTCTATTCATGCACACATGCACAAATATCTATCAACAAACATAAGAAATACTTAGACATACACTCACATTAGTTTTAAGGTAGAAGGGGGATCTGTAATGGGAAGAAACAAAGTGTGTGTGTGTGTGTGTGTGTGTGTGTGTGTGTGTGTGTGTGTGTGTGTGTGTTAAGTGGTGCATGCACATGAGTGTGTTCATTCACATACCCATATATTCACTTAAGGGGGCCAGAGTAGGACACTAGCTATTTTTTTTTTCTCTCTCTATCTGTCTGCTGTGAAGAGACACCATGACCACGGCAACTCTTACAAGGAAAACATTTAATTGGGGTGGCTTGATTTCAGCAGCAGTGGTAATTACTCTCTACATAATCTGTATGTTTTAAAGAGACCATGCTAATTAGAGAGCTCCATCAAAGACTTTTCTTATCCATTTTTATTTTATGTGTACCAGTAGTTGACTGCACGTCAACTATAAATCCAACACACACTTACAGTGCCCTCAAAGGTCAAAAGAGAGTGTTAGATACCCTAGACCTAGAGTTATAGGATATTGTGAGTTATCATGGGGATGCTAGGAATCAAACCCAACCCCTCTGCAAGAACAGAAATTACCCTTAACCTCTGAACCTCCCTCCAGTCCCTTCATGAGAGTTTTAAATCTGCACGCAAATCTCACTTTTTGCAGGCGGTGGTGGCACACGCCTTTAATCCCAGCACTC